GGTGAAAGGCCAGAGTGAATGATGTCAATATTAATCACATGAGTTGGCAGTTGTAGATAAGCTGCTCGATAAAATACCCACCAGAACATTTCAGTCAGCCGGTCAATATCATCACAATAGATGATGGTTTTGACAAGATTGGTAATCTTACAGAAAGCTTTGAATGTCATGCTCCATAAGAACAATCATAGTTGACAATTCAGGACGAAAATTGCCTAGATTGATGAGAGTGTAGTCTGGGTGAAGTCCTGCATATGTTACAAGTGAGGCACGAAAAGGCTCTGGGCAGGTTGCTGAGAGAGCAATCAAAGGAACATCATTTCCGACGATGTTCCTAAGCTGATAGATACGTGAATAGGAGGGCCGCCAATCACGGGCCTGGTGTACTAGATGGGCTTCGTCAAGATATATAGCAGATCCACCCTCTTCCTCCATGCCTGCGAGTGTAGAAGCCGGGCGAATGCAGGTGTTTCCAATGTTTCCGGGCAAACATAAACAACCATTATTTCGCCTTTAGCTACAGCCTCATAGTCTTCATCACTGTGTTGTTGTGCATAGATGAATTTCGAAGAGATATTTCCAGTCTTCTTGGTCCTAATCTATGTTGAGTTTGGTTTCATCTGAGGATTGAATTAAATTACATACAGCATTTCACCTTCCTGACCAAGACTTGTAAAAGGGGTTATAACAAGAGAAATCCCCTCCCCGCGCGCAACTAGAGGCAAGGTCCAAGTGAGAGATTTCCCAGATCCAGTTGCTGAGATCAGAACACAGTCGCCTCGGTGCATCAAGACCAAGTTACAGACTTGTACTTGAAAGGGTGTGAAGTGCTGCTCCTACAGGTAAAAGCCCAGACTCTATTGCCAGATCACTTACGAATCCAACAACGATGTTTCAGGAATCACGTCGATCCTGAAATAAAACACAAGTGGGACGGCAGTTGGATGGCAGGATAGAAGACTGATCGGTATCGGAGTCCCGGGCGGGCCGAAACAATTAATATCCTGACAGGTCCATGTCATGAGACGACTCTGAGAATTGCTTAGCCAGATCCGTGAGAATCGGACCTGTGCCCTGCACATAAATAAAGAAGTCCCTAGCCCAACGTCCTTGTATGGGTCCTCCTTTGCTTCTCACCACTGCCTTAATTGGACCCGTACGTCCGAACTTATCACTGAACCGCTCTCAAAATTGACCTTTATCGCCAGATAAATCATTGGTTCTTCCGCAAATATGAGCCCTTGGGCGCCACCTTTCCCTTCCTCATTATCGTTGCCCAGCCCCCTGCTGTCCTTGTATTCGGCGGCGGCTCACTTGTCTCTGATCTCCTATACACCTACGTCGTGTTCCTATGCTCCTTGGGGCTTTCCATCGTTGTTTACCGCCTCTCGCCTTTGCATCCCTTGGCGCAATTCCCTGGCCCCACTATCGGGAAGATTACTCAATTGTGGACGTTGTGGCAAACATTGCAGGGATACAAGTATCTATACCACAAATCGCTCCATGATAAGTATGGGCCATATGTGCGGATAGGTCAGACATAGTTCCCATCTTTTTTGAGAAGCTTGAGCACAGTTCTAACTTGGACCTGCAGGGCCGAATGAAATATCCGTCATCGACGCGCCAGCCGTGCAAAAGATCCTGGGTGGTCTCGACAAAGGACGATGTGAGTAATAGCCCTTACATCCGGTGAAGTCTGTATGAATGATCGAGATGCGACCCACACAGACTACGAATCTGGGCGTCATAAATTGACACCACCACGACATAGTCGGTCCCCCCCTACCGCTAGTTAGAGGCCATGGAATTAAAACCCAGCCAGAGGATAACAAATCAACCACCCGAGTGTCGGAAAAATTGAAAAAGTCTGGTAAGGCCTTGGAGCACCTAACAGCCTTATAAGGCCTAATAAGGTTCGAGGGGTGACCTTATAAGGCGTGATAAGGTATGGTTAGGTCTTCCCAGGCTGACTTCCCGGAGGTTACAAAACTGAGTTGGGGTTGTTAGAGACATGGTAGGTGTGGTTTTATTGCATCTTTTTCGGCGGAAAATTCAGAGCTGTATTGTTTTTGATAATTTGTGCTGTGATTGTATGCCAAGATGGCTGATTTGAATTTCAAAAAGTATGTAGGGGAGCATATACTCATGTGTAGTAAATCACCAGTCAATGTACGAGCAATATCTTGAGTTGTTGTGTTATGGGGAAATTGTACAGGTATCCGAGAGCTACGCCATATATGGAACAAAATTTCTCTATCTATAAAGCTCTGTTAGCATAGCAGTATTAGACATTGCCATTGTTTTATTCGCACTGCAGAGGTCGAGCGTTCGATTCTCGCAAGCACCAATGATTAATTGTTAGAGTCAGTATTGTAGACAATAGAAATAGAAATAGATAGTCTGGTATTAGAAAGTCAAGACAAGGTGCAAGCAGACACCTTACAAAGAAGGCAAAGTGGTAATACTTTTGCTTAACCCCGCCGAACATGCCTTGTAAGGCCTTACAAGCCTCATTAGGTCCTATAAGGTCCATTATGTGTTATAAGGCCCTATATGTAGTATTTGGTACCTATTTAAACCTTGTAACCCTCCTTTTCCCCAACGGCCTTATTAGACCTTACAAGGCCTGCCCAGGCCCAACAACCCTTTTTTGATTTTTCCGACAAGGAAATGCGCAATCGCACTTGTGCCCGACGCATCGCTGCACGTTGTGTGGGGCTGCGACTTTCTCGACTCAAAAGGTCGACGGGTGTTAACCCGTCAGCCTTTATCATCGTCAAGTTAGCCGACACCCACTAATACCCCGGTCTCCCATGTCCAGTCTTTCGGGAGTCTATCCTCATTTTTTAGAACGTTCTTCCATGTACTCAAAACAAGTTTTTTATCGATAGCCTTGCTGCCATATTTAACAGCGTTTGTCATTGCGCAGTCTATTCCGAGGCGGTTGTTGATAGTCTTACACCAGCGATTCGTGATTTCCCAGTTCGAAGCGGGGTCTTTTGCATTGATGACGCGTTCATTTCTGAGCCTCCATATCAGGTGTGCAGACTCGGAGACGAGAATGCGGAAGAGGCGCGTCGTGCCCGCGTCTTTTCGCTTGATGGCTGCGCATGCCATGATTTGTCCAAGTGTTGGCGGTGGTAGGTCCGCGCCGGTCTTGAGCTTCCATAGCTCGCTCGCGAGGTTCCACACGGCTTGTTGGCCCGGTGCGTCGCATTTTGTTAGAATGTGTTCCATTGACTCTGTGATGCCACATTTGTTGCAGGTTTCTTTTTCCTCGTGGCCGGGCATGTCTTTCCAGTGCAGTCCGACTTTATATCCTCCATGGATTAGCATCCAGAGGAAGTATAGCATTTGGTACATTGAAAGCTGGGTAAGTAAGCTACTTAGGCGTTATCTCATTGAGATACGCCTTTCGAATCAAGGAGATAGGTTCAATCTATCATCTAGTCACTTGGTGCAAAATCCACAAAATCCGTGTCTTGTGGCCCTCATTCTGCTAAGACTGAAGCAAAAAAAATTCCATGGGCATCTCCAATGCAGTTCAAGCATTTATTTGCTTCTCGATTGTTTGCCTTGACACAGCGACGCATAGAGAATCACCAAATCAATTGCATCAGCAAAGAACTTCCTATTTCGGACAGTAGCGTTGGTGTTGCCAAATCCGGATTTGGTTGTCGGCAACTCTAGTTGAAGGGTATAAATTGTATTTTTTAGACGAGAGCTGATAAGATGTAGACTAATATCTAAGCCAAGTAAGTAGCCACAAAGTAAAGCAAAAATCAACAGGGGACGACTTGCCTCCACAAGACCGTGAGTCCGTGACTGTTTGAAGTCTTTGCCGTGATGGCAGTGGAAGCCGGCCGTAAATTGTGCCGATTTTTCGTTTTCGTTTCTGGTTGGGCTGCCGACAGGGATCACGAGCGGCCTCCATTTATATACGTTTTCGTTTTCGTTTCTTGTATATACTCTCGTTACGAGGACCAACGGCACCTGCTGAGAGAGCCATCAAGGGATTTATCCCTGCCCGAAATACTGGGCACAAGAAAAGGCATTGAGGCCTTAGCCAAATTCCTCCAAGCATCCGGAGCGTTTACAAAATCGGGCCGCCCCCGCAAAAAGGCGGAACTCCCGGTTTTCGCAGACGAACCCGACCCTCAAATGTCGGATGACGAAGACGACGGCGGCTAGGCACAGCGGCATAAAGAAACCCCCGGGACTCAACAGTCCTCGACATTCACTTCCCCCTGTCGACACCCGCGCCTCTATGGCCCGGCATCTTCTTTTCTTTTCTTTTCTCCTTGTACATAGTCTCTTACTTCTACCTTATGCCCCATGCTCCATGCTGCATGCATTTGACAGCTTAATTCCGCTACCCAGCAAGGGGGAATCAGCATTAAAATTTCGTACCGCGGGTGGGGGGGAGGGGGGGTCAGCGGAGGTCCTAAGAAGGACTTGAGTGAAAAACGGACAGTTCGGCTCATGGGCTAAGCCCGTTGTTGGCTCTTGCCTGATTGGGCAAGCCCCAACGTAGACCATTCACACGCTGTCACGAGCCACATTCCACCTCGATTTCTTTCGAAAGTGACTAAGTCCGCCCTCGCACATTCATTCCAAGCCCGTGGATGTAAATTAATTGGTGCGTGAATTTCACGATTCACGGGATTTTTGTGTGAGTTTTAAATCCACGTAGTTGGAATTTTCCCTGCTCACTTACTATACCTATGGAAATCTACCCAAAATTCAGATGTATTGGACTACCTGACTCACCGAGGGAGAAAAAACACATAGAGTGTGATAGGCTGACCAAGTTCTCGTTTATCAGAGAAATTTACAACATGAAATACATTCAAAGAGAATTTTCATGTGTGTGAGCGAGAACCTGGGTATCCGATGATGGGCTTGCGAGCCACGAGGGTGTGAAAAGGTAATCAATGATCCAGCTGCCGATCAGGCTCGTGGTCTTGATTGTAGTCCCTATCACACTGCCTTGGATGTCCGGCCTCTTAGCATAGTGGTAATATTGCATGTCTCGCAATAAAAGACCAAAGGCGCTGGTTCGAATCCAGCAGCAGCCATCCTTTTACTACATTTTCAGGTCTGCTCAAAACACATGCTTATCACTGAAATATCATCCGCGGCGGACCACACAGGAACTCGATAGCAGGCGATATGGACAAAGGCCGATACTTGAATTGATTTGCGCGTACATAGTTATACATCGTGCTAGTCGAAACTGCTTTCAATTACTGTGTAAAGAGACAACAGTGAGTGAGTGGGGCGCAACGCTGAAGCGACGGTAACGTACCGATGGAATATGTGTGCACGCGACGAGCGCAGCACCAGCGTGTACAGGAGACGACGACGACGAGCAGCTCCAGCGAGCCCCACCCGCGTGTGTCATTCCCTCCTCCATTGCCCTTCTTCATACATCGCCTGCGCGTCCTCATCCCCAACAGCCCCTCGCGCACACTCGTCCCTCCCTGCGAGCATCTCACTTCCCTTTCTAACTCGCCTCTCCGTGACGCCATCAACCCATCGCATCTTGTGTTTCGCCCTCCTCACCATCTCCGAAACTTCATGCTCGTTCTCCTCCCTCCTCGTCATCTTCTATCCCACCCTTCTTTCACCCCTTCTCTCTGCGTCGTCTGCTCTACCTTCGCCCGGTCCCCTCCTCGATGAATTCAATCCACCCCTCAGACTACTTCGGCATGTACCCCGTCTCGTCGCAGTCTGCCACCCTTTCCCTCACCCCCTGATCCACGCCGCCTTCGCCTCTCCCCCCAAACGAACGAAAGAAAAAGAGGAATATGAAACTCACCTCAAACGGAATCAGCACGGCTGCAATTGGCTTAAGGTCCTGTTAAGTCTTGATTGGCGAATGGCCGCGGTGGAGAAGGGAGAAGAGGAAAGGAGAGAGGTGTATGCGGAGGACGAGGAAAGGAGGGAGAAGACGGGGAGGGAGGGAAGTAGATGGAAGGTGTAAGGGCAACAGCTGCCAGGGCCTGAGGCCCGAGGTACTCAAGAGTCCAACAAGCACTGGGCAGAGGGAGAATCCTTAGAGGGCTAGCTACAACAAGAGGAAGAGTGTCTACTCACCTGGGCAGAGGGAGAATCCTTAGAGAACAGAGTAAGGAGTCTCCACGCCCAGGCGTCACAGTAAAAGGGCGCGTGACGCGTGACTTCTCACGGGGTGTGGGAACTATGTAGTAGCACAGCATCTATGATGTGATATCAATGATCAGATGATCCAACAGTAGCAGGGAGCCAGGGATGAGCCCAGAAGAGGGAGGATCACAATACTGGTCCAGAGATCGTAGACCGACGAAGGCCCGGAGATACCCTGTGGTCCGGGGAGCGTGGGAAACTGGAGCCGGAGTCCGGAGGGCCGGAGCTCGGGGTACCAGAGCTCTCGGAGGGCTAGAAGTCTGACCGGAAGACCAGTCGGGAACCGGGTTGCGCTGAGCACTAGCTGTAGGAGCGCAGGGTCGACAGGAGTCTGTCGAGGAGGGGAACGGAGGCATACTGTACGTAAGGACAGCATGTGGCATGGGCCTCTACGGCAATAGGGAACAGGGGGTCGGAAGGAGGAAGATGTGACAAAGGGGGAAGTCTGGAGGGAGTAGTGTTCCCAAGAAGGCTGGAGTGATGCAAGGAATAGCGGAGCGGGTCAGGGAAGCGGGGGGTTCCCCTGACATCAGCCCCACTTCAGAATGTGGCGACCCGACACATCCAAAGCAGAGAGCGCAGAGCAAACTCGAAGGGAACAAAGACACAGCCCCGCTTCACGCTTTGCTACGACCCGGCGCGAAGTGACACAAAAGGGAGGGTGGGAGGGGAAAAAAAGGTCATGCCTCCCTTGCCCACAGGTCTCCGTCATGCGCTCTTCGACCATTGAGCTATGGTCGGCGCTTTGCCTTGTACACTGCTTCTCAGATGCCCAAGTCTTCAGCATGACCCTCAAGGAGTAGGCAGACATATCCTGTCCCGCCACTCCCTGATATTGTACTGGTCAGTGCTTAGGCTTGTACATCCTCTCAGCTGTCCAATCCTGCAGCAGTCCACTGACCCGCAGAGTGTGGCCAGTAGTCGCTACGCTCCTACTGTACTCTCTGCGCAAAGGGGGGAGAGTAACAGGTATGGAGCTCCAAATGTCGCTCCTGTAGGAGGAAGCTCCCTCTTGTCGCTTCCTCAGCTCTACCCCTTCCAGCCCACCTTCACAGTGTGGCGCCTCGACACACACATCCGGTGGGGCCTATGGCCACAGCGGAAAAAAATTGGATGGTGGTCACAGGGTGCACTGGGAGGTTGTATGAGGGCCGGAGGTATCCGCCATGCCGTCTAGAATGTCGTGGCATACTGCACCGCACATAGCAGACAGCAGCACCTAGTGGTGCAACGACACGGGGATAGAACCAAACCAACCGCCTTCCTGCTGCTAGCCAAGGTGTTACAAGCCGATCAACGGTATCGGCCATCACATGGTTAGTGCATAGAGTCTTTTCCTCATCTCATTCAGGCAAGAATTGAGGTAAATGTGAAAAACAACAGTTTTTGCGACGTTTTCGACTGAAACACATCTAGTAATCATAAAACTCTTTCAATCAATACAGAATTTGATTCTTAGATACCTCATGTACTCCTCCAATGCACCGTGGACTTAGATTCGCAACGATATACCGACAAACCATATGATTGGCCCACTAATCCATTGGCATCTGCCGATCATATGCGAAGTTGGGGAACACATTGAAATGCACTGGGGTGTCCAATGCTCTTAGAACTTGTTCAAGTCTTTCCATAGGTGTCCTATTTAATGCACTGTATAGGCAAAATACTTTCATATTCCCCGGTGCTCATGCAATATTGACGGAAAAGAGCCATAACATTCATCAAATACGTTACGTAACAGAAATCACTCGAAATCCACCACAATCGGCGGCACAGTAGCCAGCCCACCGACCACATCGTCATTCATTTTAACCGCAGTGCAATAGATGACATGGCAAAGAGCTCTCTATCAAGATCCTGTGAGATTCCAATCCCTTGCCGACATACAAAGTGTTGCCCAATTTCCGGCACAATTTTCAAATGGAGTCGGAATACGGAGCCAGTAGGGCGTGTTCCGCCCATGTTGACGAAGAATAACGTGTATAGTGCATTGAAGTCATATTATAGCTAATTCCAGACAAAACCCTGGAGTGTTCAAAGCAATTCTGTACGCCGGAGATGTATTTCAGTCCAAAATCCACCAAAAATCTATTATTTTTGGTAAGATTTCTCCATGATCTGTACAAACTATCGACGGATCTACTGCGAAAGAGGAAATTTCCTCTAGATCTGTCGATTACAAACAATGTGTTGAGCAGCATCAAGTTCGAGGGTGGTCAGGTATTTACTTTTAGAGGTAAGATTCTGAGCGACAGGTATGGAACTTATGGCGTACTGACTGCCACCTTCCACTCCCAACCGAAGCTACGGGAGATTGGAACTTTACCGAAGATATTCTTGACCGCTCCTCAGGTGCACCTGAGCCAGTACCGTCGAGCTTTACCCGCTTTATGTCTTTGTTTCAATTTCAAGACGGCTGGTGTTTGACCTTCCCAGACCCCAGGGATTATACCTGCAGACAGATTCGCACGGCCGTGAATGGTGGACTCCGAGTCTCTCATTCCCGAATCGACAGATTTTATATACCAAGTACCCAGTTTTCGGAATATCGCAACTGGTCAATCACACACTGCGCAGTTGCATCAGACCAGCGGCTTGTTTCTGTTGAGGTAATCTCGCGGCCGGCAGAGAAAGCAGGCCCCGGGAGGTGGAATATGCCCCTCTATCTCCTGAAAACTCCGAAATTCATGAAACGTGTCGAGCTGAACAAAAATTTAGCTGATGATTCAGAGAAAATTAAAGATAATGAACGCAATCCAAAATTCAACCAACAGACACTATGGTCCAGATACAAGACAGATACTCGGTGTGACCAAAAGTAACCGGAATTTGGCTTTTGAGAGGGGAATTTCGAAACTCAAACAGCTTTAAGTAATACAGGGCTCTTCTAAATCATTTATTCTACTACTTTGATGGTATGGGCATGACATGCAATGTTTTGTTTTGAGTTGGTGAATCAATCTTTAAAATTGAACCAATTTGGACATGTTTGCGTTCTCTGAAGGAGAGATGCCGTAATTTCTGACCTGTAAGTACCCCAAAAAGGTGCTTAGTATCCCAATAGTCTATAAATCCGATATCTAAGGTTGCCAGGTGTTTCCCGTTGTTCAGTGAGAGAGGCAACTCGGCACACTAATTTCCCGCCTCAAAGCATACATAAAAGAATGTGTAATAATAGGACAAAGAGATTATGCAACCTTTTGCCTGCTTCTTATGCAATCGTATATGTTCATACACTGCCAATTGGGCCAATTTGCCCAGCAGTCACCCACAAAATCTGGTTGAAAACACGCAATTTCCGATTCCGGTAATTACTTTTGGTCACACCGAGTATAACAGATTTCGGCCGACATTGCTCGCGTTTCTTGAATGAGCATATCAAGGAAGTCAGGACGCTGGAAATGAATCTCCGTATCGTTATACACGATGAAGACATGTCCTTTGAAGATCGCTTTCTGGCTATTCGAGTTATTGAAGAGAAGATCGATGCTTGTGTTAAGGAAGAGGCAGTCGAAAGAAACGCACAACCGAAGCGCGTTACGATGTTGAGGGCGAGACCTTTAAAACTAAACTTTGGACGAACTCCGCCAAAGGCTAGAAATTGAAAGACTCAATTGAAGAGTTCAGAGTTGACTCACACGCCGAGGACGATAACGGCGCAGCTCGCTTTGAAACTCGTCCCCGGGAAATGGCTCAAATCGCAGGCAGATATCATAACAATGTTCAAACTCGCGATATTCCGCATGAATATAGTCGGATGCTAGCTACAGAAATTGTGCTCGAAGATTGCGACGCTCACTTATCTTTCCACGAATATCAAAAATTAGACAAGGAACTCACAGAAGATGACATTCGAAAAGCACTGAGACTATCGAAGCATGGCAAAGCTCCTGGCCTGGATGGCATC